TCTGCACTGGTCCCAAGAGGATTGCGTTGCAAACGCCATGTGGCAGGTTGTACATCCCTCCCAGCTGATGTGCCATGGCATGCACATACCCAAGACCAGCTGAGTTGAAGGCCATGCCAGCCAAGAACTCCGCATATGCCATCATGTCACGGGCCTTCAGATTCTTTCCATCCTCAACCGCTGTGGGCAAAAAGGCGCTAATCAGCTTCATCGCACGAATGGCACATGCATCGGTGACGGGGTTGGAGGCGGTACTCACATACGCTTCGATGGCGTGAGTCAGGGCATCCATTCCCGTGGCGGCGGTCAATGATTTGGGCATGCCAATCATCGTCTTGGGGTCATTCACCGCCAGCGTTGGGGTAACGCGCCAGTCAACAATCGCCATCTTCACATGTCGAGTCTCATCCGTGATGATGCAAAACCGGGTCATCTCAGCGCCGGTGCCTGCCGTGGTGTTGACTGCCACCATGGTCATCATCGGCTTGGTGCTCTTGTCCACACCCTCCATTTGACGGATGTCCCCACCATTCGTGGAAGTCAAAGCAATGGCCTTGGCGCAATCATGTGGAGAGCCACCACCAAAGGAAATGACGAAGTCACAGTTCTCCTCCTTGATCTTCTTGAGGCCGGCCTCTACCTGTCCACATGTGGGATTCGGTTCACAACCATCATAGATCGCATATGCGATGCTCGCTTGATCCAGCGTATCAGTGAGAGCCTGCACAGCCCCCACCTTCACCAGTACAGCATCTGTGACGATCAACGCCTTCTTGTGCCCCAAGGCTTTGATCTGACTCACGGCTCCTTTCATGGCACCTTGACCCATGATGGACTTGCAAGGCATGAAGAAAGTTTGCCCTTCATCCCCTGGTGCTGGGTGGTGATAGTTCAATCCATGGGCGCCCTGAGTGGTGTGTCCGGCCAGATCCTCGGACAAGGCTTTCGACAGGTCAAAGCTGGAATAGTAGCCCTCCATGAGAACTGGTTGGAAGAGCCGGTTTGAGCAAAGGCGCTTGGGCCAAAACGGCTAATTCACAACCCTGGATGCCCTTTCCCCACAGGAAGCCTGCAAATTACAAAGGAAAGGGACATGAATCAGGGCTCGATATTGCTTGTTTGCTGGCTGCGCATGGAATCCCACAAGGATCTGGCTGGGGCCCCAACCGCTCTCCGGCGCTTGGCAAGACCCCGCCAAAAATGCACACGAGCTCTTAGCGGTTCCTTTCCCCAAGGCTGTAGCACAACCTCACCATAGAGCGGGTCCATCTTGCACATGTATCTTGCCTGAGGACCGGCGTTTTCGCGCATTCGAATGCGCGCCAACGATCGATTTCAAGCACGGCTTAGTGAGCCAACGGCTATCAGCCAGCGCCAACCAGCTCCGAGCAACCCCTGCGGGGCTGAGGGCTCCAAAACAACTCGTCTGCGGGGTTTGGCCCTTGGTTCTCTGGTTCTCTGCACCAAGCCGCCAGCCTGGCACCAGGCGCAACATTCGCCCGAGCTGTGGCTACGACTGGAATCTGGACAAGGTCAACGTCCTTTTCTTCTTTGCCCCCTGGGAAAAATGAGAAAACATGTCCAGTAGCAGTAGCTTCCCCTTAAAACCAATTAAGGAAAAACAACACATACTCATTTCAGCAAACGGAAGTCAATGAGGTGCCCAGATGGGACTCCCACCCGCTAGCGCAAAAAACCAGGGCGAGACCCAACTCCACCTCTCACCTCGGCAAAGGCCCTGAGGTCGCCGCCCCTTTGTCCTGAGAGACCTGCGAGCTGGACGCTCCAGAGAAGAACCAAGTTTCACCTTTGGGCAGGGCAGCTAAAGTTCAAGGGTGCCCTCAAGCCAGCGCATGTGCACACGGAAAGAAAGCTTGGAAGCTGTGAAACTGGGCTGACACATCTAAGAATCAATCAACAATCGTCCTGTCAAAGTCCCGCCTGCACATGGAAACTGTGCGGCTGGAAGTCGCAGGTCACTTGGGACGCATCTTGCAGAGTTCCATCAGGAAGCTGCAAGTAGACTTTCACCTTCCCACCTGGAAAAATGCGGCATGAATTCCCCGAACTTCCTTGCTTGAAACTCTTCAAAACAAAGGCCAGAGCGAGATCCAGGGCGCCCGGAAAGAGATCTCCCCCATTTGCGCCGATCCAAAGCAAGGAGCACAAACCGGAACAACCTGCCATAAGAGTGGGGGGACGGCCCCAAGGAGGAAAAAGCAAGCATTTGGAGCAATCCAAACACATAAACAAGGGACCCTTGGCATGCTGGAGCAAGGCAAACCTGCAGGTGTCGGAACCGCAGGCTGAAACCCACAGAGGCCCGGGCCATCGTCGGTCCAGGAAAAATTGCGAATCGCCTCGAGGGGCTTATCTGCGGAAGGCGCATTCGCCTGCGGCCCGGTGACGCCTAGCCGCCTAACCCCCCATTGCTTGCTTGTCTTCCTGTGAAACATACCTGCCGGACCCTAGGTGCCTAGGTACATGAAGACGCGCGGCCATCGTGTCAGGCACTTGCCCCAGTCTCAAGCCTCGCCCTTTGCCATGTCACCGAAGAAAGATTTGACCTCAGGGACCTGCAAGCCCTTTCAGCCCGCGATTGATGAACTCCTTGCAGGCTCACGAGTTCTCAAGCGGCCTCAATGTCCAGCTTGACCGGCGGGCCGCCTGCGCGAAAGCTGAGCTGAGCGACGGCGCTTGGGACGGGTGTCGGCCGCAAAAATGGGTGTCAACCATCGGGACCACCTAAAACACGCCCACCCAAATCAAAACATAACAAGGACCAAAAGCTCGATCTCTGGAAACAAGGTGCGAAACTACGGCCCTGTGATCCAAATCGGATACGGTGCTCGTTGCACTGCCCTCAACTTCATGTTTCACCTTTGCCCCGCCGCGAAGCCTGTGACCAGCCCAGGGCCTGCAGTTGCGGGCAGCACAGTTTGACAAGGCAAACTCGATGCCTCTGAATGACCGAGGCAAAAGTGGATCAAGCGCAGCGGAGCTCCCATGCGAGTGTGCTGGCCTTTCTCTTTTGCAGTTCCACTTTGGACAAACCGCAGGCGCTCGGAAACATGGTCTTGATTCTTGCTCACGCGATCAAAAAGCTGCTCAGGACTGGGCCAGAGATGACCTTGGCATCTGCTGGCACCTGGGCAGCCGCACTCTACTGAGTCGAGCCTTGATTTGGACTCTGTGCATGGCACCGTAAGGAATGACCAGGGGTGTTGGTAGGGATTCCCTGTAAGGAAGCCGCAAGGGATGGTTTGTAGGGGGCGTTCCATGTCTCACTCCGGCCTGAGCGCCAGCAATTGACATGCACCCCAATGAAATGCAACATTTATTGGAGCTGCCCTACTAACTCCGAGCAAAAGCCAAGAAGAGAAGGGAAACCAAGAGAAATCCTCTTCCATCCGCCTTCACCGTGAGGTTAAATGGAGCAAAATAAACACCTGGCGTGAGAAAACAAAACGCCCACCACTGCCAGGCACCTCGAACTTCCGGTTGTGGGCATAGTAGTATGCGTTCTCGCCTGTCTGCAGACAGCCGGCCATGACCCCCAACTTTATACGTCAAGCTAAGCACCCCTCCAAACGGCACCGTTATTGGTTAAGGTCGCGTTGGTCGCCTCTTAAGGCAGTGAGAGCAGTTTGTAGTTGAGTGGCTTTGGCAGAGCCCCTTTTCTGGGCCTGCAAGCAACCACAGTCAAAGGTGGAACTTAGTGTTCTCAACATACAAGCTCAGCATCAGAAGGCGCAATGTGCGAGGGAAGCTTCGACACCAACGCAAATCCTTACAAAAGAGTGTTGCGGTGGGCTGACGGAAAACCCAACCACGCTAACCCCAATCGACTTGGAGTGGAACGATAACGTGGTCGAAGTTCAGACTCCCCGGCTTCTCGGCTCCCCCTGGTCCTAGCCCAAAATGCTCTTCCGCATCTCCGGCCTTTCTTCTGGATGTTCTCCCGCAAGGCAGAGGCGTCGGCAGCCGCAGCCGAAGCGCCCGCGGCGGTGCCAGAGGCGGCCGGGTCTGCAGAGCCCTGGCGAACGCTCGCGGGCACCCACAATCTCGGGTGCTGGCGTTCAGGGGAAAAGCAATCCAATGCTACTGATGGTGCCGCTGCTGCGTTTGCTGTTTCTGTTGCTCTTGCTCTTGCTCTTGCTCTTGCTGTTGGCGTTGCTGTTGTTGCTGTTGCTGTTGTTGCTGTTGCTGATGCTGCTGTTGCTGTTGCTGGTTGTTGGTTGCTGGCTGTTGGTTGTTTGTTGTTTGTTGTGTGTTGTGTGTTATGTGTTGTTTGTTGTTTGTTGGTTGCTGTTTGTTGTTGTTTGTTGTTTGTTGTTTGTTGGTTGTTGTTTGGGGTTGTGGCTGTGGTTGTGGTTGTGGTTGTTGTTGTGGCGCTGCTGCTGCCACTCCTCCTCCTCCTCCTCCTCATTGACAGACCGCCGAGAAGCGATGGGCCAAAGAAGCCCTGCACCAAGCGTAGAATCAGCATTTGCTTCTTCCTTCACAATCCTCTTAAAATGGTTTGCGCATAAAATAGCTCGCTGAAAATGGAGATCCCCCCCAATTTAACGATCTCTCCATATATATATATATATATATATATCTCTCTCTCTCTCTCTCTCCGGCCTCGGGCTTTGGCGGCGCCAGCTTCGGCCGTCCAAACAGCAAGGTCAAAATCGACCTCGGCAAAACAGCGCGCGGGGTGTTCAAACCAAGGGACCCTCAGCGTGTCCCAAACAAATGGATTGAAATTCAAGACCCTCCATCCTGCGAGTTGAGCGCCCTTCGGAACTACACCTTTCCATGCCCGAAAATGCTGCACAACCCCACATGAAGCTGGAGTCGGCTACGGCCCACAAACAATCTGTGACAAAGACTTGACTGAGAGAGTTGAACACGCAGTCTCTAGCTCCATTTTGCTTGGAGCCCTTGCACTTCGCGTTTAGATCTGAGCCTCCGGCCCCATTAGCGCAACGGCAAGAAGTTTGCGCGGGCAAGCTAAGCCGAGTCAGCGCACGGCCGCGACGGCATGTTCGTGCCTCCTGAAGTGGCTGTGTGAGCATGAAGTCAGGCCCAAACGCTGCCCAAAAAGTTGCAAAGTCAGAGACCTGGTAACATGGCGCCAAAATCGCGCGAGCGCGAATGGCTCCAACTCCAGGTCCGATACCTCTCTGGACATCTGACCTCTCCACCCTATGCGACTGAGGTGGTTTGACTTTAGAATGCTTCCCTTTTCTGCAAAAACACTGCAACGCCTTTCAACCGACCGTGCCTACACCAACAAAAGGGCAAACAATGTGCACAAACCAAACAGCACAACCCAGATTCTGCCGCCTGATCCAACCACGCACGGCAACCTAAACCCTAAGCGACCACTGCATGCCGAACTGCCAACAGGCTGCACGCCAAACCAACATCCCGAAAACCCAGCCCTTATACGCAGCAAAACCTCTAAAACAATGAGTCAACTTTCTCCCCAAGTAGCTGAAAGCTACAGGCTTTTTTCTTGTAGTGCAGACTGATGGCTGGGTGCTAGGGAGCATGCAGTTTGGGGAGCTGATGCAGGTGGGCGCATTTGTGCGAGATTGACGGTGGCATGCAGTTTGGTGCGCTGGCGCAGGTGCTGTTTCCAATGCTGTTTGAGGGCGCTGGTGATGGTGCGGGCGCATTTTGTCGAGTTGACGGCAGGGTAATAGACATGCAGCTGGTGCTGTTTGGTGTTGCGTCGCCTTTTCTGAGTATGCGTTGTCGGCCTGCTTGGGTCCCGTGCCAAGGGAGCTGGTGCTGCGGCCCGCCCACGGTGCCGAATAGGCAGCCGGGGCTCTATTCATCACCATTTTTGTGCAAAGCGGTTTTGTTCTCCACAGCATACGTTGGCCTTCCAGTGCCCAATTCTAGTGACAGCGCCGTTGGGGCCTGGCCTGGAAGGGGGCCAGCCCCAACAAATCCGACAGCAGTCTCGACAAAACCCAACGAGGCACAGAAGCCGGACGGCGGGATGCGGTCCGAGTGATGAGCGATTTCATCGTCTAGTGGCTCGCACGCTCGCCCACCAGCTCGAGAGCTTTCCACGCCGCCTGCGCGCTGTTTGCGACGCTGGCATCGGCAAATAGCTTGGCTCCCCACCACGCTGTCACGCGCTCACACACACACACACACACACACACACACACACACACACACACACACACACACACACACGCGGAGCAACCGGCCTGCACGCGGCACGTCACGGAGCATACGCCATCCACAAACGCAGGCAGCGCCGGCAGACCCGGTCGTCTCCCCAAGCCCGCTGGGCGCCAGCGCGCAGCGCGATCTTTTCCAAGCCATGCGAGAGGTTGACTTAGCGCAAAAGTTGCGCAGGCGAGTCTACACGCTGCAGTCGCCTCCCGGCTCAACGCGCGGCGCCCCGAAGAACGCGTTGGCCGCCGGCCTGGCGCAGCGAAACTCGAGCTCCGCGGAAGGCACGGCGTGGAGAAATGTGCGTTCCACGCGCGGAGCTCGCCAAGCGGGCAGCGCTGCTCGCCGCGAGGCCATGCCTCGACCTACTAGATGCCGCCATGGGGGCGGCGGTCGACGGCCCCGTGCCTGGCCCGTTGCGCGCCAACGCTGCAGACGACCCCCATCTTCGCGGGGAGAGAGCGGCGTCGCTGGCCCACCTGCGGGACGCCCTGCGCGAGCCGGAGCGCCGGCCAACTCGCAGCGGTTCCTGTGCAACGTGCGCCGCGGACGCAGCGGCGGTTCGTCCAGATGTACAGCAGAAAACCTCCGGGAAGCCAGCGCAGACTTGTTGTGCGAGGCCTGGTCATGAGCAACGCGTTTCGCCGGCTGGTGGCCCGCACGCTCGCCCAGCAGTATGCTGGAGTTTTCCCAGCTACTTGCGCGCCTTTCAAGTATGCCCTGCGGACCCGGGGGGGGGGCCAAGTCCCTCGCCCGCGCGGCGCGTGCGGCCACCGAGCCCGACGCCCGCACCACGTCTCTCAGCATAGACAGGGTCGAGGCATACGACCACATCTCGCGCGCGAGCATGTTGAGCGGCCTGCAACACACGCCCAGCCGCTCTCTTTCGTGGCCCAGTTTTACGCTGAGTCAAGCACCTACGTTTTCCACGACGCTCAGGGCAAGGGGGTCCCCTGATGCCCGCCCTCTACGTGTTGGGGCAGCATCCCGCCCCGCTCCAAGCGCACGCGGCCGTGACCCCTCGTACTTGGACGACATTTACGATACTTGTCAGCCTGAACGTGCCGGGCCCGCACTACTGGATGCACTCCCCGCAGCTGCGCGGGCCGACGCTTGGACAAGGAGTTGGGCAAGGCCACCAGCCGAGCAAGGCATCACAGTCCTGGCTGGGCACGCAGCTGGTCGCGGGAGCTTTGCGACGCGTGAGGGTGAAGCATGACGACCTCTTGCGGAGCGCCTAGCTCCTCCTGCTCCCTTGCGCGCAGCCTCGGAGCAATTACATGCTGCGCGTTTTGCCGCCCGCTGACACAAAGCGGACGCACCTTTTCTTCTTCTTTTTTGCTGTTCGCGCGCCTTTTTCCGTCTGCACCCTTCGAACTGGCCCAGCTGCCGGCCAGGTGCTCAGCTCCCACTCCGGCATGGGGGCCTTGGCCTCTCATCTGCCGCGGCAACCAAAACCGGGCACGATGCGCACAAGGGGTGCGCCCCTCACCGGCAAGGCAGGCGGGAGGCGCTCCCCTGCGTCGGCAAGCAGGGCGCTGTGGGGGGCAGCGCCCTGTCCACATTGCAGAGGCCGGGCCCGGTCGTCTGGCGAGGAGGCAAAGGCTGTCATGGCTGAGTGCGCCAAGAGAGCGGACCACCGGGCAACCAAGGAACGAGTCACGCCGGTTGGGCACGCCCTGGCCAGACAAGGGCGACACCAAGGTGGTGTCGACAGCAAGCTGCTGGCCATTGCGGCAGGCCGCTGGCAACGACTTCAAGCCGCCTGTCGTCGACTTTCGACTTGCAAATTCATGTCTGCCAGACGGGTGTTGCAAGTAACACGGGCCCCCGCCTCATGGCAAACCCGTGCGGCGCACCTTTCCAAAGGACAACCTCGCCCCCGAAGAACCCCTGATCGCGCGCAAGCAGCACGGGAGGGTCCAGAAGGCGACGACACCGGCAGAAGCGCTCGGCGAGGGGTTTGGAGCGCGCGCCCAATTGCCTGTCCAAGGCGCGCGCTTCGGGGGGAAGCGTGAGCAGCAGCGAGCTGGGTTCCTCGCCCGCTGCGTTCCATGCCCTGTCTTGCCCAAGTGGAGGTGAACGTTGGCGCGCTCCCACAAGGCGATGCCCAAAGCATCGGAGAGCGGCCCGGTGCGGTCGGGCGTGCACGTCACGTAAACATCGTCAAGGAACGCATAGAGATCCTCGCCGGGGCGCAACTCCCTGTGCGCCTGGAGAAGCGCCGGGTGCTGCCCGAGGGCATAAAGTGCCGGCATGAGCGGGTCGCCCTGCTCGCCCCCTTCAGCCTGCGTTATGTCGTGCGCGACCCCGTCCTCATCATAGAAGAGGTACGTGCTCGGCTCAGCGTAGAACTGGGCTACGAACGGCAGGAGGGCTGCCAGGCGAGGATCGCACCGCAGGCCGCGCAACATGCTGGCCCGTGAGATGTGGTCAAACGCCCCGACCCCATCCTCACTGAGCACGGTGGTGCGCCCATCGGCTTCACAGGCCGCCCGCACAGCCCGGGCAAGGGATTCGGCGCCGGCCCGAGTCCGAAGCGCGTACTGGAAAGGCGCGCAAGCCGCTTGGAAGGCGCCTGCGTGCTGTTGCGCGAGCGTCCGCGCCACGACGCGCCGGAACACGTCGCTCATGACCAGGCCGCGCACTCCGCCGTCGGGCTTCTGCAGGCCCACCATCCGGCCCAAGCGCACGCCCGCGAGCACGGGCGGCGGCACCGCGGCAGTCGCGAGCCGTTCCGCGGGCTGGCCAAGCCATGCTGCAACAAGGGCTTGCCGTGCTGGGCACGCCGGTGGGGCATCCGGAGTTTGTAGCCCGCAGCCTCCAGGACATGCGTGCTTGGTGCTGCGGCGCATCCCGTCTGTGCCCCACCTGCAAAGCGCATGGCTCCTCCTCCTCTTGTGCGCGCACCCGCGCAGCAACTACTTGCTGCGAGTGCTCCCGCCCGCCGAGACGGAGGCGTACGCGGAGTCGCACGACAGCGCCATCATGCAGTGCCTCCAGCACCTGCTTGGTGACCCGGACTTCGCCCGTGACCCGCGCCAGCTCGCAGCCAAACGTGCGCAGCTCCCCCTGCGGTTCGGAGGGCTCGGGCTCAGATCGGCAGCCGCGTCTCGCTTCGCGGCGTACTGGGCGTCCTGGGCCGACTCCATGCCGGTTATCGGCGCGCGGCACCGGGCACCCTGGCGCGGATGCTCGCAAGGCTGGCCAACCCAGCAGGCTCTCTCGCCACGCCATCGATGCGCAAGGCCGCGCATGCCGAGGAGGTGTTGCGGACAGCTGGGTTCGCTGCGCCGCCGTGGGCGGCGCTGGCGGACGAACTGTCTGCCAGCCAGCCACGGTACTTCGGGGACACCGCGCGAGGTTGGCAGCAAGCCGCCTGCGCCCACTTGGACCGGAAGGCCCTCGAGACGCTATTTACCGAACTCGATCCAGCGTCTCGGGCCTTACTGCTGTCTCAAGCTGGGCCGGGCGATAGCGTTGCCGCTGCCGCGCTGCAGACTCGCGACGAGTTCAGGCTTCAGGACGACACGTTTCGATGTGTCCTGCTCCGTCGCCTGCGCCTGCCGCTGCCGCTGGAGCCTCGGGCATGCCGCTGCGGGGGCGCCCTTGACCCACTCGGTGACCATCGGACTGCTTGCCCCACCGCTGGCGTGCTCGTCCGCCGCGCGGGCCCGCTCGAGCGCGCCGTCGCCCGGGTTTGTCGCGAGGCTGGCGCGCGGGTAGCGACGAACGTTTTCCTTCGCGACCTCAACCTCGGCATGCCGTTGTCCGACGGGTGACGGCTCCTGGTTGTTGCGAACGGGCTAAGGAGCGA